TGTGATACAGGCACATAAATAGACCAGTGGAATAGAATAAAAGAGCCAGAAATAGACTCAAGTACATACAGAATTTTAGTACAGTCACACGTTGCTTAACAACGGGGATATGTTCTGAGAAATGCATCATTAGGCAGTTTCTTTCTGTGAACATCATAGAGTGTGCTTTCCCAAACTTAGATGGTATAGCCTATTACACACCTAGGATCTGTGGTACAGCCTGTTGCTCTTAGGCTGCAAACCTGTCCAGCAGTTGTAACACAATGGTAAGTATGTATCTAAACATAAAAAGGGTACAGTAAAAATAGGGTATTACGATGGGACCACATTCCTGTAGGCAGTCATCATTGACCAAAACTTCATTGTGCAGTGCTTGACTGTATGTGATAATAATTTCTCAAATCTCAGGGCCAAAAATTAGCTTTTAATAAACGATGCTGGGGCAACTAGCTGGCCATTTAGGAAAATATAAAATTAGATTCATACTTCACACCATGTACAAAAATAAATTACATATGAGTCAGAACTAAATATAATCAGTGAATCCATACAAGCACGAAAAGAAAACACAGATGAATTCCTCTGAAACCTTAGAGGAGGTTTTAAAAATGCTTTTGAACTGTAACTCAAAAATTAGTTTCAGTGAAAGATAGACAAATCTGACTATGTAAAAAAAAATTTTTAAATCCCAGTCTTGATAGCAAAAAACTATAAACAAAATTGAAAGACAACCAGTACGCTAGAAGAAACTCTGTGCAGCATGTATTCCAGAGTATGAATATTCTTTTTATTATTTTATTTTATTTTTATAAGATGGGGTTTCACCATGATGGCCAGGCTGGTCTTGAACTCCTGACCTCAGGTGATCCACCTCGGCCTCCCAAAGTGCTAGGATTGCAGGCGTGAGCCACCACGCCCGGCCCGAGTATGAATATTCTTAATAAAGAGCTCTTAGGCTGGGGGATTAATGACCAAAACCGACAGAAAACTGGGCAGAAAACCACGGATAGCTTCACAAAAAAGATATAAAATGGACCTTAAACGTGTTAAAATATGTTCAACCTCATACATAATGCTAGAAATACAAATTCAGATTACGCTATTTTCTCGTAGATTGGCTAAAAATAAAAACCTTGAAAACTCTTTCCATTGGAAAGTCAGTGGGGAAGCAGGCCCTCTTGTGCATTGCTGACAGGGGACTCTGGTATTATCCAGGACTAAATTCTCATTTGCCCTTTGACCCAGCAATCCCATTCCTAGCAATTTACCCTGAAGATACACTTCCCACCTTACAAAATTATAGATGTACGAGGTTACTACCGTTACATTGTCATTTGTAATGGTAAGATATTTTAAATAACCTAAATGTAAATTTTAAAATAATGTAAGCCACATGTAGGAGTTGGTTGAATAAATGGTGCATCACGTAGTATAGTACTGTACAGAAGTGAAAAGGAATGAAGATCTCTATGAACTGATGTGAAGTGACTCCAAGGATACATTAAGTGAAAAAATTCAAAGTGCAAAAGAGTGTACTGTTACTTTCCACGTAAGATAAAAGGGTAAATTAAAAGATAAAAATGCAAACACGCAAATAGTACATCAGGAAATAATGAGATTAACAACAGGGTGGGTGAGACTAGGGTGGAAGGGATGGGGAAGGAACACTATTAATATTTTGCATATTAAATAAAATCAAGACTGAGGAAAAAATTTAAAATGAAATACAAACTGAACCTGTTTTAAATGAATGACTTTTGAACTTATAGTTTGACTATATACCTTTAAAGACAGAAATAGCTGTAAAAACATTCTAGTTAGTAGGTCTGTTTTTTGTAGTTTTATAAGTTAGCAATTCTGAAACTTTTCTCTGTACTTGAGGATCCAATACATAAGTACATTTTGAGGGTAGTGGCAGCAAGATTTCTGCTGTTGGAGAAGGGAGTTGTGAATATGGCAAGAGAAGAATAACTAGAATGAACCCTATAGATGCATTGGAGTAGAATTAGAATTATCAGCGTGAATGCATGATTTTTCATATAGCTATACTTTGGACGTTTTAGAAGGAGTCGCATATGCTGCTAAAAGGAACCCAGGCCTTTTGGAGAAATGGCTGATTGTGGGGCTGGGGCAGAAAAAAACCAAGATGAATCAGAAAGTAAGATAATTCCAAAAGGTAAGGTAGTGTTCAAAGAATGATGGGGACACTTTAGAAGGACACAGGAACCAGTGTGAAGGAACTTTGGCAAATATAGGACAATTTGAACATAAAATGATGGTGAAAGATTATAATTCATAGAATAAAACAAAAATCCATTAGTTCATCCTGATACTGTATAAGTACATGGGAAAGGCAAAGATCTGTCTTGCAGTAGATGCCAGCTAATAAATGGAGAAGGAAAAGTAGAATTGGAAAACTCGCCGTTTGGGCTGTGCATGGTGGTTCACACTTGTAATCCCAGCACTTTCGGAGGCTGAGGTGGGCAGATTGCTTGAGCTCCGGAGTTTGAGACCAGCCTGGCCAACATGCTGAAACCCTGTCTCTACTAAAAATATAAAAATTTGCCAGGTATAGTGGTGTGTACCTGTGATCCCAGCTGCTAGGGAGGCTAAGCTGGGAGGATTGCTTGAGCCTGGGAGGTAGAGGTTGCAGTGAGATAAGGTTGTTCTACTGCACTTCCACCTGGGTGGCAGAGCAAGACCCCTTCTCAAAAAAAAACTCACCATCTGGCAACTATCTTGACTGTAATGAGTTAGGCAAGAATCATTAATGGATGCTACATGCTAAACCTAGTGGATGAAGAACTAGATTGATGATTAAAGTTTGAAGAACAGGATTTCATGTAGTCTCAAAGTATTTCCCCACAAAATTCTTATTGAATTGGAGAAATAGTAATTTTACCAGGAAACCTGGCAGATATCAGTATCACTGGACAATGGACAAATGGACAGATCAACACCTTGTGCCACTTGATGAAAATGTCCCTTCCGTGATATTCCTGCAGAAAGACTTAGCTCAAAATTAAACATGAAATACCAAAGGAACCCAAATAAAAGGCATGCTTTACAAATTAATCGGTCTGCTGTCTTCAAAGATGTCATGATTATGAAAGACAAAGATGGAGAGGGGAAAGTTAAAGGAGCCTAAAGAGACATGACCACTAAAAGCACCATGTGATCCTGGCTCAGGTTCTGGACCAGAATTTCGTTGTTTGTGCTGCTATAAAGGATGCTATTGGAACAATTGGCAAACTTGAATAATGTTATATACTAAGAAATAGTGGCTGAGCATGGTGGCTCATGCCTGCAATCCCAGCACTTTGGGAGGCCAAGGTGGGCAGATCATGAGGTCAAGAGATCAAGACCATCCTGGCCAACATGGTGAAATCCTATGTCTACTAAAAATACAAAAAATATTAGCTGGGCACAGTAGCATGCAGCTGTAGTCCCAGCTACTCGGGAGGCGGAGGCAGGAGAATCACTTGAACCTGGGTGGGGCGGAGGTTGCAGTGAGCCTAGATCGCACCACTGCACTCCAGCCTGGGCTACTAAGTGAGACTCTGTCTCAGAAAAAAAAAGTGTTGTGAGCTGGGCACGGTGGCTCATACTTGTACTCTTGGTACTTTGGGAGGCTGAGGTGGGTGAATTGCTTGAGCCCAGGAGTTTGAGACCAACCTGGGCAACATAGCAAGACCCTGTCTCTACAAAAAATACAAAAATTAGCTGGCCATGGTGGCATGTACCTGTAGTCCTAGCTACTTGGGAGGCTGAGGTGGGCGGATTGCTTGAACCCTGGTAATCAAGGCTGCAGTGAGCTGTGATCATGCTACTGCACTCCAGCCTGGGTCACAGAGCAAAACCCTGTCTCAAAAAGTATTGTGGTAGTTTATTTCTTGCTAATATCACTGCAGTTATAAAAAAGTATTCTTGTGGGTTTAAATAGCCCTATAACTATTAAGAAAACTGATTTTCTGATTTAAAAATCTCATAAACATCTCTATGAGGGTCAGGCACAGTGGCTCATGCCTGTAATTGCAGCACTTTAGGAGGCCAAGGCAGGAGGATTGCTCGAGCCCAGCAGTTTGAGACCAGTCTGGGCAACATAGCAAGACCTCATCTCTACTAAAAATTTAAAAATGAGCTGACCATGGTGGCGCACAGCTGTGGTCCTAGCTACTTGGGAGGCTGAGGTGGGAAGATCATGAGCTCAGGCGATCAAGGCTGCAGTGAGCCATGATTACACCACTGCATCCCAGCCTGGGTGACAGAGGGAGACCCTGTCTCAAAAAAAGCAAAATCGTTTATGTGGTAAAATACTAATAAATGAATTGGGATGAAGGGTATATGAATGGTTTTTGTACTGTTCTTGAGTTGTTTTTTTTTTTTTTTTTTAGACAGAGTCTCCCTCCATTGCCCAGGCTGGAGTGCAGTGACACGATCTCGGCTCACTGCAACCTCTGCCTCCTAGTCCAAGCGATTCTTTTGCCTCAGCCTCCTGAGTAGCTGGGATTACAGATGCCTGCCACTACACCAGCCTAATTTTTTTGTATTTTTAGTAGAGATGGGGTTTTGCCACGTTGGCCAGGCTGGTCTTGAATTCCTGGCCTTATGTGATCCACCCAGCTCGACTTCCCAAAGTGCTGGAATTGCAGATGTGAGCCACCGGCCTGACCTGACACTTTTGTTTAGGTTGGAAATAATTTCAAAGTGAAAAGATAAAGTTGTCATTAAAAAATCTGAAATTCAAATAGAACTTTTAAAACAAACTTAACTGGCGTGCTCATCTTTGCAGCATTTGAGGTTGTCTGCATCATTCCTCCCCAGCAGGGAGGAGGTGCTGCCTTTGCCTATTGTCCTGCTTTTTTGGAGAACCTGTGATAGAGCTGGAGCTGTCTACCTCTACCTCTGTAATTCTGTAATAGAAATGTCATTCTGTAGTGTTGATACATCTTCTACTTGTCTTTATCATTTTGAGCTCAGAAGTAAATTTATTCCTGCAGGTTGTTGATGAGCGTGAATTTTTTGAGATCATGCCCACTTATGCCAAGAACATCGTTGTTGGTTTTGCAAGAATGAATGGGAGGACTGTTGGAATTGTTGGCAACCAACCCAAGGTGGCCTCAGGTAGGACGAAGAAGCTCTTATAAGGCTTGGTTGTGGGGTTGGAGGCCAGGGAAGCCTGGGTCCACGGTGTCTGTCTGCCTTTTGCCTGTTCTTCAGACATGACCTTCTGTGACCAGAGGAAAAATCCCAAATGGTTGTTGTAAAAGCTATTTTTTTTTTTTTTTTGAGACAGGGTCTTACTCTGTTGTCCAGGCCGGAGTGCAGTGGTACAATCACAGCTCACTGCAGCTTCCCCCTCCCAGGCTCAAGCTCTGGGTAGTATTGACACCTTAACAATATTGTCTTGGAGTCCACAGAAACAGAATGTCTTTCCATTTTTCTTCTTTTTTTATTTCTTCCTGCTATGTTTTGTAATTTTCAGTGTCCAAGTCTGTCACCTCTTTGGTTAAATTTATTCCTAAATGTTTTATTATTTTAGATGTTATTGTATATGGAATTGCTTTCTCAATTTCTTTTTTGGATTGTTCATTGCTGCTTCATGGAAGCACACATACAAAACTGGTTTTTATTGATCTTGTAACTTGCAACTTTGCTGGGTTTGTTTATTAGTTTTGTTAGCTTTTGTTTTAAAATTTATATTGCTGCATTTTGTTGGGTTGTTCTTCTGTGGACACAGGTTATTTCCACCTTTTAGTTATTGTGAATAATGCTGCTGAATGTTGTGAATATTATGAACGTTGATGAATTTGTTCATTAGCCCTCTTGTGGATTTGCTGGGAGTGTCTATATACAGGATCATGTTTTCTGCAAGTAGAGATAGTTTTACTTCTTCCTTTCCAATTTGGATGTCTTTTATTTTTCTTGTCTAATTGCTCTGGCAAGAATTTCTTGTACAGTGATGAATTGCAGTGGTGAAAGTGGGCATGCTTCTTTTGTTGCTCATGTTAAGGTAGGAAAACCTAGTCTTTCACCACTGTGTGATGTTAGCTGTGGGTTTTTCATGAATGCCCTTTATAATATGCAGGAAGTTTCTGTCCATTCTTGATTTTGTGTTTTTTCGTGAAAGGATGTTGGATTTTGTCAAATACCTTTTTTGTTTCAGTTGAGATGATCATGTGGTTTTTGTCCTTCCGTTTGTTAATGTGGTGTATTATGCTGATTTTCTTATGTTGAACCACCTTTGCATTCCTGGGATAAATCCCACTGGGTCATAGTGTATAATCCCTTATAAAAATAGACTTATAGAACAGTTATAGGTTCACAGCAAAACTGAATGGAGAGTAGATAGAATTCCTGTTCACTTTCTGCTCCCACATGCATAGCCTCCATATGACTAAAGTCCTGCATGAGAGCAGTATATTTGTTCAAAGTAATGAACCTTCATTGATACATCATTATCAACCAAAGTCTAGTTTACATTAGGGTTTATTCCTGGTATTGTAAATCCTATAGATTTGACAAATGTATAATGACATGTATCCACCATTATCATATCATACAAAATAGATTCACTGCCCTAAAAATACACCGTCCTCTGCCTGTACATCTTTCCCCCAGCCTCACCTTCTGGCAACCATTGGTTATTTTATTGTTGTCAGTGTTGCCTTTTCAAGAATATTATATAGTTGGAGTCATCCAGTATGTAGCCTTTTCAGATTGGTGTCTTTCAATTACATTTGAAAATCAAGTACATTTAAGGTTCTTCCATGTCTTTTCATGGCTTGTTAGCTCATTTCTTTTTAGTTCTGAATAATATTCACTGTTTATCCATTCACCCACTGAAGGATATCTTAATTGCTTCCAAGTTTTGGCATTGCAATAAAGCTGCTATAAACATCCATGTGCAGGTTTTTGTGTGGATGTAAGTTTTTACCTCATTTGGATAAATACCAAGTAGCATGATTGCTAGATTGTTTGGTAAGAATGTGTATAGTTTTTTTCTTTCACAGTAGCTGTACTAGTTTGCATTCCCACAAGCAATGAATGAGAGTTCTCATTGTTTCACATCCTCCCCAGCATTTGGTATTGTCGGTGTTCCAGATTTTGGCTGCTCTAATGGATGTGTAGTGATACCTAGTTCTAATTTGCAGTTTCCTAATGACATATGATGTTGAGCATCTTTTCTTTTTTCTTTTTCTTTTTGAGACAGTCTCATCCTGTCTCCCAGGCTGGAGTGTGTGGTGCGATCTCAGCTCACTGCAACCTCTGCTTCCTGGGTTCAAGCAGTTCTCCTGCCTCAGCCTTTGAAGTAGTTGGGACTACAGGCACATGCCACCATGCCCAGCTAATTTTTTGTATTTTCAGTAGAGACGGGGTTTCACCGTGTCAGCCAGGATGGTCTTGATCTTCTGACTTTGTGATCTTCCCACCTCGGCCTCCCAAAGTGCTGGGATACCAGTGTGAGCCACCGTGCCCGGCCATATCTTTTCATACATAAATTTGCCTTTCGTATATATTTTTTGATAAAGTATCTATTCAGATCTTTTCCCTGTTTTAAATTGGGTTGTTTTCTTATTGTTGAGTTTTAAGAGTTCTTTGTATGTTTGAATAACAGGCCATTTTCAGATACGTTGTTTGCAAGAATTTTCTCTCAATCTGGGGTGTCTTCTCTTGACAGTGTATTTGTCAGAGTGAAGTTTTTAATGAAGTCTAGTTTATCAGTCATTTCTTTCATGGATCATGCCTTTGGTGTTGTAACTTTTTAAATTCTTTTGAGACAGTCTCGCTCTGTCACCCAGGCTGCAGTGCAGAGATGCAATCTTGGCTCACTGCAGCCTCTGCTTCCCTGGTACAAGTGATACTCATGCCTCAGCCTCCCAGGTAACTGGGACTACAGGTGCATGCCACCATGCCTGGCTAATTTTTTGTATTTTTAGTAGAGACAGGATTTCACCATAATAGCCAGGGTGGTCTTGAACTCCTGGCCTCAAGTAACCTGCCCACCTCAACCTCCCAAAGTGCTGGGATAACAGGCTAGAGCCACTGTGCCCAGCCTGTTGTATTTGTACCTTAAAAGCCACTGGCATTCTCAACGGCTTCTAGATTTTCTCCTATGTTACCGCCTAGAAGTTTTATAGTTTTGTGTCTTACATTTAGGTTTCTGATCCACTTTGAGTTAATTTTTGTGGAGGGTATAATGTCCATATCTAGATTTATTTATTTAATTATTTTTATTTATTTTGCATGTGTATGTTGCTTCAGCATTATTTGTTGAAAAGACTGTCTTTGTTCCATTATATTGCCTTTGTTCTTCCCTCCTACCGGCCTCCCCCCGAGATGGAGTCTTGCTTAGCTGCCCAGGCTGGAGTGCAGTGGTGCAATCTCAGCTCACTGCAACCACCGTCTTCCCGGGTTCAAGCAACTCTCCGGTCTCAGCCTCCCGAGTAGCTGGGATTACAGGCATCCACCATCATTCCTGGCTAATTTTTGTATTTTTAGTAGAGATGGGGGTTTACCATGTTGGCCAGGATAGTCTTGAAATCCAGACCTCAAATGATCCGCCTGCATCAGCCTCCCAAAGTGCTGGGATTACAGGCATGAGCCACTGCACCCAGCTACCTTTGCTTTTTTTTTTTTTAATCAAACATCAGTTCACTGTGTTTTTGTGGGTTCATGTCTAGATACTCCATTCTGTTCTATTGATCTGTTCTTTTGCCAGTATCACAGTGTCTTGATTACTGTAGCACAGTAAGCCTTGAAGTTAGGTCGTATCAGTCTTCTGACTTTTTTTTTTTCCTCCTTCAGTATAGTGTTGGCTTTTCTGGATCTTTTGCCTTTCCATATAAACTTCAAAATTATTTCATTGATACCCACAAAATAACTTGCTAGGATTTTGATTGGAATTGTGTTGAATTTATTTAATTTATTTTTGAGACAGAGTCTCACTCTGTTGCCCAGGTTGGAGTACAGTGGTGCGATCTTGGCTCACTGCAACCTCCGCCTCTTGGTTCAAGTGATTTACCCATTATTACAGGTACCTGCTATCATACCCAGCTAATTTTTGTATTTTTGTAGAGATGGGGTTTCATCATGTTGGCTAGGCTGGTCTTGAACTCCTGAACTCAGGTGATCTACCCTCCTCAGCCTTCCAAAGTACTGGGATTTCAGGTGTGAGCCACCACGCCTGGCCGGAATTGTGCTGAATTTATAGATCACCTTGGAAAGAACTGGCATCTTGACAGTGCAGATACTCCTCAGTTTGTGATGGGGTATGTTCTGAGAAACTTATTGTAAGTTGAAAATATCATAAATGAAAAGTGCATTTAATACTCCAATAAACCCATCATAAAGTTGAAAAATTGTTTTTTTTTTGAGACGGAGTTTCACTCATGTTACCCAGGCTGGAGTGCAATGGCGCGATCTCGGCTCACCGCAACCTCCGCCTCCTGGGTTCAGGCAATTCTCCTGCCTC